CGAGGTGGATTCTGTATTAGTAGGGATTTTTTAAAAAACAGATATAAATATATGACTTCTAACAGTTTGGGGATTTTTAACATCATGTGTGATTTTGCAATAATCTGTCATTTGGGCTCTGGTTTATATTTCTTAGGCTTTGTTCTGGTGTCAGGATTGCAGTGAGAGGTGTGCAATATTTTATAATCCAAGGGAAGCAGCACCAGAGATCTGAAGTTCTGGTCTTTCTAGGAGTTTTTAAGGTGGATTTAAATCATTCCAGTGTGTGCATCAGAGACACTTTTAATGTATATTGGATGGAGTTCAGGCTGGAAACGATGGATTTAAGGAGCTGGAAGTAACAGGTAACGACTTGAGGACAAATCAGGAGATTCACTTTGTCTACACAAGGATGTTGCTCGAGGGCCTTCCTTCTCCAGTAACTCCGTGTGGAATGGGAAAATTCAGATGTGTGAATTTGCTTTGTTACCTGCTATTTTATTTAAAAGCTCTCCTGCTCAGATCCAGCCAAAACAGTTTCAGTCGTTGACTGAAAATTCAGCGTTTTTAGCTCATCAGGACATCTTTTACAGCTCAGTGTCCTCAAGGTCATGGCCATCTCTATTTAATTTTCTGTCTGTTGAGGAAATAATAGAAAAGCCCCATAAAATTAACTTTTTTTGGTTCTCTTTCCACCCAGTGTATCACTGGGTGGAAATATACACTGGAACTGGACGAGCTTTAAGGTCCCTTCCAACCCAGACCATTCTGGGATTCCCTGAATTATTCATTTATCCTCTTTTTTAATGTTCCCTTTTCCTAGGGATTCACTGAGCACAGAGAGGACAGGTTTTAATGCCCCATCCAGCTTTGGCATGCTGGGGAACAGGAGCAAATTGTTCCATTTCTCAGGAAAAATTCAGAAGTGAATTCACATCCCAGGAGTGAAGGTGATGAGAACGAACCCCGTGGCCCTGAGGAAGGTGGTGGATGGGATGATTCCCAAAATTCCCTGAGGAAGGTGCTGGCTGGGGTGATTCCCAAAATTCCCTGAGGAAGGTGCTGGCTGGGGCGATTCCCAAAATTCCCTGTGTGTCCAGCAGCACAGCCACTAAATCCAGGCAGCTCCCTGCACTCCTGGTGTGCCACCAGCTCGGTTCCTAATGGATTGGTGTGGCTTTAATGACTGCGCTTGTTTTCTCCAGGAAAAGCTCTTCCTAGGGACCTGACAGATCACCTCTGCCATGCTTCCAGACGTCCCGGCTCTCTAATTCCTCTCCCTAACGAGTTTTGTGCCGCACGATAAAATATTCATGTTCCAATAGGTTCTAAACTAATTATCTGCAGCCGGCACTTGCCTGAGCAGTCGTTTGCTGTTAGCTTGGCTCAAGTTAATGGCTTGTATTTCAGTACAAATAGTCCCTCCTGGCTGTTTCCTGTCACTGATTCTTATCCTAAATGGAATTTCCATATGTGTCTGCGGCTAATTCTTGTGACATCCAAAGGAGCTTTCTCCTCCTGCGCCCAGGAAGAGGAGGAGGATGTGTTATAGGTAATATTTTATGTATTATGCAGTTGCTGCGTTTTCCTTGGAAGGAAATGTCTCTGGGTCTGATCTCTTCACACTGTGCAGTTGTACTCAGGGCTTTCCTACACCTCGTGCATTTTTATCAGCTCTAAAATACCAGTTGTTCTACAGGCAGGGACCATTCTGGTCAGGTATTGAAGTTAAACAGTAGAAAAAAGGGAAGAAATTGATGTATCACTGGAAAACACACAGGTGAAATAACCTCAATGTTCATCTGGAGGTGTCACATTTAAATTTGAGCATCATCAGAAAATCCTCGTGATTAAAAATGCCCTTAAAAAGGACTGTGATAAAGGCTGAATAAAATGGTTCCAAAAGGGCTAAAAACATTGTGAATTTTCATTATTCTGCCTGTGGTAATCAAGGGTTTTTCTCCATCCTTTTCTCCAGAGACAAGCCTGTCTTTAAAATATTGACAGATCTTAATCTTTTAATGTTGCCATATGTCCACTTAGAGTAAAAATGTAAATACTTCCATACTCTAAATGTATGGCAGTGATTTTGACTAATCACACATCTGTATGCCTAATTGTTGCTGGGATCAAGGCCTGCAACATGGAAATAAATTAGAATTCTTCGTTTTTCCTTTTTTTTTTTTTTAAACTTCATATTTATAGCAACTAATTTAAACAGCTTGCAGGAAAAAAAAATCTGCTGAAGTTTCTGCTAATTTTTCCCACGTTAGTCCTAATGGGATGTTGTATTATCTGCCATGTCTGAAAAATTCATTTGGACATAAAATTTAGTAGAGATTTGTGTTACAGAAGTGGAGAGGGAGTCTTGCTGTGGGTGTTTATTTGATACTTGAAGAGATTATTGTGTTTTCACTTAAACTAATTGAGACTTTGTACAACCAAGGGGATGCAGGGGATGTTTTCCAGCTCCTCATGGACCCCACGTGGGTGCACCCTTGGAGAGCTGCTGAGAGCAGAGGGGGTTCACCCAAGATCTGCTGGAAAAGAAACTTCTCCAGAATCCCTGGTGTTGCAGAAATGAGCAGAACCTCTCCCCAGCCTGCACAGGTCACTCCACCTCATCCCAGATCCGTTCATTCTCCCATTACTCTGGGTTATTTTTTGTGGCATTTCACCACGAACCCAAGCTGGTGAGTCTGGTGAGCATCTTTAGGTCTGTGCGTCTGCAAAGCCCCGCTGAGACCTCTCATTTGTGGGATTCCATCTTTAGGTCAATAGAACTTTGCAGATGACACCAGGCTGGGTGGGAGTGAGGATCTGCTGGAGAGTGCAGAGGGATCTGGACAGGCTGGATCCATGGGCTGGGAACAGCTGGATGAGGTTCCCCAAGGCCAGGTGTTGTGTCCTTGGGTCCCACCAACCCCGTGGAGCTCCACAGGCTGGGGCAGAGGGGCTGGAAATGTCCCTGGGGATGCTGGTGACAGCAGCTGGACGTCCCCAGGTGTGCCCAGCTGGGCCAGAGGCCGATGGCACCTGGATTTTAGCAGGAATGGAGTGGCCAGCAGGATTAGGGAAGGGACTGTCCCCTGAGCTGGCACTGCTGAGGGACCCCCTGGAATCTTGGGGTCACTTCTGGGCTCCTCGGCTCAGGAAGGAGCTGGAGGGGCTGGAGAGGGTCCAGGGAATGGAGCTGGGAAGGGTCTGGAGAACCAGGAGAGGCTGAGGGAGCTGGGAAGGGGCTGAGCCTGGAGCAAAGGAGGCTCAGGGGGGACCTTGTGGCTCTGCACAAGTCCCTGCCAGGAGGGGACAGCCGGGGGGGTCGGGCTGTGCTCCAGGGAACAGGGACAGGAGGAGAGGGAACGGCCTCAGCCTGGGCCAGGGGAGCTCAGGGGGGACACCAGCAGGAATTTTTCCATGGAAAGGGTTGATAGGCCTTGGAAGGGGCTGCCCAGGGGGCTTTGGAGTCCCCATCCCTGGAGAGATGGAACACCTGGTTGTGGCACTTGGGGACGGGCTGGGGATCAGTCACAGGTTGGACTCAATGGTCTCACAGATATTTTCCAACTGTTGCTGTTTTATATTGTTGCTAAGTTTTGCACATCCTCAGTATTTTTTGGAATTAAGGAGCCTTTAAACAAAACCAGTTCTCCCAGCAGTGCAGGTTGGTGCTCATGGGATTTGTTCCTTTTCCTCCTTGACTCCGTTATCCCAATAATCCTTGTCTCTGCAGAGTGTGAATCTCCAGGAAGGCTGGAAGTGCTGAGACTTGAATCTCTCATACAGGGAAGCACAGAAGTGATCCTTTAGTGTGGGACTTGAGGGAATACAAGTTTTTTCCTGTGTTATTTGTATTCTTGAATGGAATTGTTTTATAAATCCATCATTTACTTGTGCTCTTCCTGAACTGCTCGTCCCTCTCCGAGTGGTGTTGAAGAAATAATTTTCTGCTACATGAAAGATGTCTGATAGGAGGTAGAAATTGATATCTTGATCTTGGCTGTGCTTCCAGGTATTTATCAGTGATAATTTCTTCAATATCCTCTTGATTTGGGGAAAAAATAACCCTGTCTCTTCAGAAGTGAGTGGAATGAATGTTATCGTAGCATGAGATGAATGCAGATTTATAATTCACTTGATAGCAGCTCTATTGTGGTTTCATCTTGATTTTCTAGGAAATGAGTCCCATCCTAAAGGAAATGAGTCATTTAGGTCTGTTCTGTCCACCCCTCCCCACTAATGGGATCGATATCAGCCAAATTTGAAAGGAGCAGGAGGTGCAAAGACGTGGAATTCCGGGGGAAGAAAATTGTGAACGTGAGCAACTGCAGGAGGAATAAAACCAGGGAAAAACAAGGAAAACTTGGCCACTGTGGTTGGCAGAAGCCACTGGCCAGGGATGAGAGACAGAGCTTCAAACCACCCCTGTTTAGAGTCTCCTGGGCAAATGCCATAGGAATATATGGATATTTATGGTTATGGATATATGGAATGTATGGATATTTATGGATATGGATGTATGGATTTATGGATATTGTAGTGGAAGCTGAAGGGACAAAGGCAGCACATCTGTTTCTCCAAGTGGTGATCCTTTAAAGGGTTTTGTGGAAGTGCAAATAGGATTTAGTTATTCCCAGGCATCTTTATTACAGACTTTGGGCTTGATTTTTGTTTTGAACATCCTCCACTCTGCTCAAACAGAAAACAAGGGGTACAAGAGTTCATCCTGTCTGGAAACATCAGAGGTTCATTTTTCTCAGGTTGGAATTGAGTCCCTCATGGACATTTCTTTCTCCCAGATCCATGACTCTACATGAAATGTAGTTACATATCAAAATTAACTCCTGCTTCTTGCTAACTTTGCCTCAGTAATCCTGATTTTGGGAGATTTAACGAGGCTGCACAACTTCCTGGTGTTCTCCCAAAGACAGGAGCATCGTGGGGACTTGGAGCACCTCTGAAATGGTCATCAGTGAAATATTTGGTGGACAGCAGTGAGATTTTCGTGTTGCTTTGAGCAGAATTTAAGGTGGAGTGTGAGCAGGACAAAGCTGTGAACGAGCACGCGGGTGCTGAGGTTAATTAGCTCTGGTGAGAGGCACTGAGCACATTTGTGTCCTGCTGGCTATGTAAATGTAATTAAGGGACACGTGTTTAATGTGGTTTAGGTTTCACCTGGGTCTTCCTAGGGGTTCCTTCACCTCTGGGTAGGTTTAGCTCCGTGCTGGGGTCAGCTACATCCACACATTTATTGAACATTTCCAGGAATGGCCACTCCACCACCACCCTGGACAGTCTATCCCAATGTTTTACAACTCTCTCCATGAAAAAAATTCCCAAATATCCAACCCAAACCTCCCCTGGCACAGGTTGAGGCTGTTTCCCCTCCTCCTGTCACTTGTTTCCTGGGAGAAGAGCAGGACCCCCAGCTGGCTCCACTCTCCTTAAACACTGCATAGGAATATTTATTGAATATTTATTTGGCTCCTTCTGGGAAGAAAAACGTTGGCCACACTTAAGCATTTCTGTAAAGAAATTAAGATGGAGAAAAAGAGAATTAAACCCAGGTCCTGAGCTGAACTGAAATAATCCTGAGTAAATCAGGAAAAACCTTGGAAAAGAAGAGCTCTATTTGCACCAAGTAGTTCAGATAAGGCACAAAGTGTAAAAGGGCTCCAGGAAGAAAATAAAATCAATTAATTGTTACAACTCTAATTCCTTGACTCATCCCTCTTTTTATTTTTTCCCTTTTTTTTTTTTTTTTTTCTTATTTTGCTCCCTGTGGCCTCACAAAATTCCTATTTAAATTTGATAACAGAAAGAATGATTAGTCAGGTGTGTGGTTCTGCTGGGAGAGAGAATGGTTGAGGATGATGAGAAAGAAAAAAAATTCTTGAATTTTACTTGAACTTCCCAAAACTCTGACCTGAAACTGTGGAAGAGGAGCCAGGAGGCTCCAGCAGGGAAGAGTTAAACGTGAAGTTCAAGAATTTTGGTGACATAAATAGGAATAGAAGAGCTGTAAACTTCATTTTGAGAGCCCTTTAAGAAAAGTAAGCTTTGTTCACCAAGTTTTTAAGAAAGGAGATCAATTTGGTGCCATTGTGGCTGAGCATTCTCCAGGAACATCTGTAAACTGTTGAGTTTAATTGCCCTGCAGCTGCCTCTGGTTGGAGTTTGGGGGGGATTTTTGTTTCCTTTCACTCAGTCTCTCATTTCCTTTTCCCTGTGCTCTCCTGGTGTCTCCTTTATTTTTTTGGGTTTTTTTTATGTTAAAAAATAAATAATAACACAAACACAGCTCCTTGAAAGAGCCTGAAGAGAAGAGGGCTTGGCAGGAGGAGCATCTCTTGCTGCTGGAGCATCAATGGGCTCCAGCTGCTCCCAGCCAGGAGAAGGAGTGAAAGGTTTTGGGAAACTTGGTTTGTTGCATTTGTTTACTTTCCATTTTGATTTTTTCCCCCCATTTTTAGATTCATTTCAGGACTGTTTTTGGAGTTTAACAAGTAAACAGGCAGTGCTGGATGGTTCATGGAGCAGGGCTCAGCTGGGAATGGAAAGAACAGGAAGGACAAACCATTTTCAGCTGACTTTTCTTTTGTCCTGCTGAGCTGTGAAGACAACAGTGGGGTTTTAGTGTTCCTTGTCCCCTCAGAGTCCCTTAAAATAATATAAAAGATGAGTTTGGCTGTTGTTTTCTTATGGAACCAATGCTGTCATTGGCAGAGGAGACAGAATTAGGTGACAATAAGGGGCCACAAAAATGCAACTGGGACCTTAAATTTATTTTTATTATTGTTACTAATGAGAGCTGCCCAGCACATTCCAGGGCCTGCAGGGGCTCCAGGAGAGCTGCAGAGGGACTGGGGACAAGGGATGGACAGGACACAGGGAATGGCTCCCAGTGCCAGAGGGCAGCCATGGATGGGATCTTGGCCATGAGGAATTCCTGGCTGGGCTGGAATTGCCAGAGCAGCTGGGGCTGCCCCTGCATGCCTGGAATGCCCAAGGCCAGGCTGGACACTGGGGCTGGAGCAGCCTGGGACGGTGGCAGGTGTCCCTGCCCATGAATTTTAACTGGATGAATTTTAAGGTCCTTCCCACCCAACCCATTCCAGTACTCAGTCAATCCTGTGATTATTATTTTCTCCCCAAAGCAACTGATTATTTTTCCTAGCTACTAAATAACTAATTATTCAGTTTTACCATTTGTTGAACTTAGAATATTAAAACTGGCTCTGCAGATTTAGAATGTGTCCATTTTTTTTTCCCCCTTCCAAGATAAAGATGCACTTTGTATTGCAAAAGGGCTCAGTAATTTAACATCTAATAACACTGGTAAATCACAGAACCCAGATTTTGCAAAACCTGAATCAGCAAATTTAGGAAAGTGTAGCAATAATTACAAAATTTAATTTTTTTCATCGGGTTGGATGGAGGGAATCACAGAATCACTGGAAAATCTGTGCAGAGAGGGAGCCAAATATGTATTTACATCTAATATTAAATAAAGGCGTGTTAAAAACTCAATAACATTTGATGGAACATCTGGCAAAGTGTGTGGCATTGTTAAAAAATATTTCAAACAGCCAAAATATTTGCTGTTACAAAATGAAAACAAACTTCTGTGTGTCTGGGGCTGGGATATAATTGCATCCAGAGCAGAATATATTATTTTCTAAAATCCTGTTAACAGCCTTCCCTGCTGGAGACGGATATCTCCAATTAGGATTACAGCATTTGGAGCGCTGCCTGCGTCACCAAATCCAGCTCCTGCCTGTTCCTGAGGCAGGGAAATCCTTCAGTCCTGCTTGTAAATTTGTCACACCCCATGGGGACAGCGGTGGCTGGGACGTGTGAGCTCCCAGTGGGAAGGGTAAATCCCAGTGTTTCTTGTATTTGCGGGGTTCCCAGAGGAAGGGAGGAATGATGGATCTGACTCCATGTCCTTAGAAGGCTAATTTATTATTTTATGATACTGTATTATATTAAAGAATGCTGTACTAAACTATACTAAAGAATACAGAAAGGATACAGACAGAAGGCTAAAAGATAATAATGAAAAACTCGTGACTTTCTCCAGAGTCCAACACAGCTTGGCCATAACTGGCCAATAAGTCAAAACAACTCACATGAAACCAATGAAACAATGTCCAACCACATTCCAAAGCAGCAAAACACAGGAGAAGCAATCAGATAATATTGTTTTCCTTTTCCTCTGAGGCTTCTCAGCTTCCCAGGAGGAAAATCCTGGGCAAAGGGATTTTTCAGAAAATGTGGCTGCCACATCGCTCCCGTTGGGAAAAGTTGTTAACGACCCGTTTTCCTTGCAGCTTGTTCCTGTGCCAGGAAGGATTAAGCTGTTTGTGAGGAGCAGCTGGGGTTTTTTCTTTGGGAACTGTGGGATACGAGGCGGGCAGGATGGATAAACCTCCATGGGGGGAAGTTGGCGTGGCTTCAGTGGAGGAAGCGCGGGATTAGGGAACGCGGAGCGCCGGCCTGAACGGGACACTCCGCCCGGTGGGCAGCGACCCCACAGCAGCTGGGGCACTCTGGTGGTTGTGATCTCCAAGGGAAGTCCTGTCTGGAGGCAGCTCAAGGCTTAGTTTTGGAATTATTGTTGGGATTATTGCAGGAATGACCGCAGAGCTTCTGAATAAGAGGCCGGGATTGTCCGGCGGATATTTATGCCTTTGAAGGATGGCAGGCGGGTTAGACATCAAAAAAACTTATAAAATAAAGAGAGAAGGGAGGTGAAGTAAGTTGAGATTTAATTAATATCTGGCCTTTTTGTGGAGCACGCATCTGTTTTAAGGGGAAGATTGAGCAAGGAAAGGTCTGTGTGAAATGGCTGCGGCAAAAACAGGGAATGGTGAGGGACAGGCTGTGGAATAAATCCAGAGTGAACAGAAGAATGACTGCAGAGTTTAAAAAGGGTTTGGATTGGAAGGGATCTTAAAGCTCACCTCATTCCACCCCCTGCCATGTAAGAGATGCCTTCCACTGTCCCAGGCTGCTCCAAACCCCATCCAACCTGGCCTTGAACATTCCAGGGATCCAGGGGCAGCCTCAGCTTCTCTGGGAATTCCAGCCCAGCCCCTCCCCACCCTCACAGGGAAGAATTCCTTCCTGATATCCAATCTAGACATTCCCTCCTTCAGTTTAGAACTGGGGATGAAGCTGAGGAAATAAAAACAAAGCAGAAGAGCAGCCTGGAGAAGAGAGGCTGTAAATGTTTTCGTGGATATGGATGTTTTTCCAGCACGCTCCCACCACCAGGAGAAGGTGGAAAGTTTAAGGAGGAAGGTAAAATACCAGTAAGAATGAGGTTGATATTTAGCAAATCATCATAGAAGTGATTTGGCTTAATGTTGTGGAAGGAACAGATGTCAGAGGGAACAAATCCCAAGGGGGGCATAAGAACATGGAGAAATGGAAGGAAACACCAGAACAGGTGATCAGATGTGGCAGATTTCTGAAATCTGGCTGAACTCCGAAAAGACCACATTGGGAAGTGTGAAAGTGGGATGGGAGCTGAGCCAGCCTTGGAGAAACAGAGACTGGTTTAATCCTTTGATAATAATTAGATTTTTTTGGGGTTGGGTTGGAACAGTAGCCAAAGAAAATACTGGAACTTGTAAGTGGTCAAACACCAAGAAAGACACACACACACACAAAAAGGAATAGCTTGGGTTTTGGTAGTATCTGCTTTTTCTGTATTTTATTTTATCTTTTTTTTTTTTTTTTTAAATCCTGGGGTTTTATCAGCTGCATATTATGGGAATGGAGAAGTAAATCTGTGTTAGGGCACCGGTGATGTGAGGACTCCACTGTTCCTCAGTGCTGATCATTATCCACGTGCAAAACCAACAGGTTAAGCAGGAAAAATATCAGTTAAAATGATTTCTAAAGATATGAGGAAGCTTCAACAAGAAGCCTGAATATCTGGAATTCGTTAAAAACTGAAAATTGTGTGTAAATATTTATGAGGAGGAACGGTGCTGGTGAGGGAGCAAAGCCATCTTGGGAGGCTTCCTGTCAATCAGAACACCCAGATACATTTGAGATGATTGAAATGCCTCAAAA